CTATAAAAGTGAATGCCTCTCCCGCCACGAGAAGAGAAGCACAGAGAGAGATAGAGAAAGTCCACCCGCGAGAAAGGGCTGGTGGCAGAGCGGAGGCCTTGCGGGGCCCACGCGGAGACAAATAAAGACAAGGTTGCACACCGCCAGACTTTGTCGTGTGTCTTTCCTGCCGGCCGGGAGCGACACCGACAGAGAGGAACAAATCCGGAGTAAAAGTCATCAAGGCCAGGTGCGCCAGGCACATGCTGCGCTGGGATGGAAGCTGGCTGGGTCTGCTGAGCCTGCAGGCTCTGTTCCGTGCTGAGTTGTTAGGGCAGCACCACGAGACGCCATTTATTCTGTCTCCTAGAGATGCAGTGAGATCTGACCCTTGCCCCTGGAAACACAGGTTGGAAGCGAAGCCAAGGCCTGGACATTCAGTCTCGGAGTACAGAGCTGCAGATGGCGTAACCCCGGAGTGCGGACAGAAGCATGGCCCCGATGCTGGGCTTGCCGTTCCCTGCGCAGGCCCTGGTCTTCTGTGTGAATTTCGATGGACAGCAATAAGGTGCTGTGTGCCGCTGGCTCTTGAGGAAGGGAGATTTCTGCGGGTTCCAGTGCAGCTTAGAGCCACAGTGGGCCCTTCCCCAGGATACCCTGCAGGCTGCACCCCGACTGGTCACTCAGAATATGCGGTTTGAAATAGCTGCAGATATCTCGGGAGTCCCAAAGTCACACGCAGGGGTCTTGTGGGCCCTCATTGGAGTAGAATCTCATGCAAAGCAGGAAGGTGGTATCCTCGAAGCATGTAGGGCTCATTCAGATGTCCCCAGCCATCCACAGGTCTGGAAAGGTCCTGTGCACTTGTGTGTGTGCATTGTGTGTGTGTTTGAATGTGTGCATGTGGGTGTGACCTGCCTCAGTGCCATGTATGGCTTTTTGGATCTAGCATAGTTGAGGAATATAACTTGCCTAAATCTGCCATCATGGTTCCCTGAGAATGGCCCCTGGAGAGGGGAGAAGGACTGTACTGGAACACGCCATGAGCTTAATGGTGCATTCTCTCTAATGGTGCCTTCTCTCTAATGGTGCCTTAGGCATCAGGAGAGGACACCGGGCGGGCATGTTAAAGAGCAGTAGGTGAGCAGGGAACTGCAGGGAACTGCTCCCGAGGACCCACCTCATCCAGGAGGAGCTGGCCATCGGAAGTAGTGGGCGAGGGCAGTGGTGTCCATGGCCTAAACTTTGCTTGTGTCCCAAGGAGAAACCATCAATGCTCTTCTCTGCCCAAAGTCTATTCCTTGGGATGTGTCAGTGAGTGTTAAGTGAGTGTTAAGCAGGAAAACGAAATTACAGTTGTGTGAAGGATCTGAGCCATCTCCATCTCATGAGCCACATCTGTTTACTCCTCTTTTGTAATCGTTCATTCACCAAATAGGTGACATTTGTTTTGCAAGTTAGAAACAAAATAAGAAGAGAAGTGAAGAAAACCAGACTCAGAAGTTGCTGGACCCTGAGAAGACTCACAAAGTCAAGGAGAAGTTTGGTCTTAGGAAAGCTGTGTCCCAAGAAAGAGCCAGCAGCCTTGGTCACTGTTTCTGAAAAATGTATTTACATCTCAGCCTAGCAAATGCAAGCACACGCAGGGGGTCCTGGACTCACCTGACTGGCAGGACCCAGCATCTTTCTCAGGTGCACCTGCCAGTGCTGATCACAGGGCGGTGACTAAGCCAGACGTTCCCCTGACCCCCAGGACCACAGGGCAGAGGAGGAGGAAGGCATGGATCACTAACAGAAGAAGCCACAGGGTTCCACAATTGCATTTCCTTTCCCCAGGGCTTTTCAGATGAATTTACCTTTCACCTTCTTCTGGTAATTCTAAGAGGCAGGGACTCTGAACACCTTTGTCCCCTGAGCATGGGTGACGGAAAGGAGGCACAGGAACGTTAGGTGCTCACCTAACCGAGACACATAGATAATCAGCATCTCCAGGTGGTGGGCGCTCAGATTTGTGAAGCAAGAGGTGTTGTGAGGTGATGGCTGGTGAGAGAGGGCTCCTGTCTCAAGGAGGCCGTGATGATACCCTCAGCAAGGCCCTCCCCCTGAGCAGGTAATCGGGCAGCTGAGGCAGGTTGTTGACCAGCAGGGAAAATCATGACCTGTGAGCCAAGGTGTTCTTCCACTGTTAGGAGGGAAATAATAAATAGCATCATGGCCTGCACCAATGACTGGGCACCAAATTCTGGTCCCCAATAAAGCTGTGTGGCCACAGTGCACCTCTCATCAGCTTCCTTATCACCCGTGGCTGTGTCTGAGTGACAAGGCCGGAGATGAGTGATTCTGACAGAGCCTGTCCAGGTTTAACGCTGGATGTCTCCCCTCTCTAGGTGTTTACCTAACAGGCAGGCCAGCATGGAGGATACCTGCTGGGCTGTGGGGCTGTACAGGGCCTGGCCTGCTGGGTTTGGGGAAGATCAAGGGGCTGAGGGTGCTGTGTAGAAGGAGGGGAGCTGAGGGACACAGAGCCAGCTCTGGGGCCATCAAGCAGAGAATGTGAATGGGGTGGCCAAGCCAGGGCTCCAGGCTCCACAGGCTGCTGCAGGGATATGGGGTGGGGCCAGGATCAGAGAGAGACTGCCTGGAGGGGCCACTGCCCAGCCAGGGAGAGTTGATGGACTGCATTGTGTGCTGGGACCATGACAGGTGGCTTGGCTGTGACAAAAACAGGAAAAGGAAGACGATTCCTGGGCCATGAATGTTGGCACCAGTTACTGGGGGTTCACATGGTGAAGAGTTGGTCTGGGAAATCACAAGCATGGAAGTTTTTCCGCTACATGGAGTGAGCAGGTCTGTATGGACACATTTCATTTACAGGACCCCATTCCCAGGCCAGGTGTGAGTGAGTGTTCACAGTCCACACAGCTCCCCCGCTGGTCACCAAGCTTGTAAATGGCTCGGGTCTGGGTAGCCAGCTTTGAGCAACACCCAGCAGTAGCCACTGCCTTCGAACACCTCTGTTGAAGACTTTTTCAGGTCAAGCAGTCAGAAGACAGTTACTGGAGAAAATGATTTTTTGCAAAGTCTGGATTCTGCGAAGTGTCCAAAGAAGCACACACTGGACTTGTGGGGTCCACCTGACGCTGTGGACTCCAACACTTTTGTAAACCTGAGCATCTTTTAGTGTGTGTGTGTGTGTGTGTGTGTGTGTGTGTGTGTGTGTGTGGCCAGAGCTGTCCTGGAGGGCTTGGCAGCCTCTTCTCAGGGCCCAGGAGCAGTGATGTCACATTGTGTCTTCCCACGCAGGCCTTTGATCTGCAGGTTTTAATGGGCAGCAAGAAGGAGTCCACTGTGCTGGAGCGGGGTGAGTGGGGAATGAGAGTAATGGCCAGGGTCCTCCTGCCTGTCCTGCAGGCACCGAGAGCTGCTCTGCCTAGTTCTTCATGGCTGCTGCAGCTGCAGACTGAGCAGCACCTTGGGTGGGCAGAATACAGCTCTGTTCTTGAAGCAGAAAGCAGTGTCACCATGGCGAAGACAAGAGCAGTCCCTTCTTCAGGCATCCTGATAGTGTGAAGTTGGGAGAAATTTACAGTCAAGGGTTGCTACCTCTGTGCATTCAGATTAGTTAGTGATGTTCTTTTTTTTTTTTTTTTTTTTTTTTTTTTTCCTGCCAGACTGAAAGTCATGCTTCCACTGTGGTGTCACGGTTTAGTCCTGGATACATGATCCTGACCTGGGAAAGAAAGTGGAGAATGAACAACTGTGTTTTCCCATCCTCAGGTTCATCTCCCATGTGGGTCAGGAGCACCGCTCTGAAAGCAGGGGACATTTAGTTCCAGAAGGGGGAAACCTCAGGACATCTACAGAGCACACACGCAAACACAGTCTTTAGGAGAAAGCTTCCAGGATGTCAGTCAGCTTAAAGCTTCTTACCTTGCATCCTGAATACCTTGCACCGTTTCTAGGTGAATATTGAAAGGAGCTCAGGCACTGGGCTGGAAATGCTCTTCTCAGGTTCAGGCCTGTGGTTTGTGTGCCTGTGTGCATGTATGTTCTTGGGTGTGTTTTGGTGCCAGCAAGTCTTGGTCTGTGTTCAGTGTCTAGCTTTGAGTTTTACTTACTATTCTAGATGGATCTGGGTGGCTTCTGATTTGGGGTTGAAACAGTGATGAGAAAGGGTACAGGATCTGGTTTCCCGACCCCAGGAAAGGGCAGACCCTTAGATGATCTTTCAGGAAAAGGTTTAGAAGACTTCGAAGTCAGAGTGTGGTTACCTGCAAACAGACAGAGAGAAGATGATGCTGAAGGAGGAGGAGAGGGGGAAGGGAGAGGAAGGAGGGAGGCTAGGGAACGTGGTGAGGGAGGAGAGGGAGATTTCACATGCATCTGAGAGGAGTCATGTCAGTGAATGGAGATACGCAAATTCCAGCAGAGGCGGGCTGGGTTCCCTTCGGGCCCACAGCACAAACTCAGGCACTGTGAGCGCCTGAGCTCAGGAGGGGCAGATGGCTTGTACAGTGCCCCCCGAGGACAGTCTCTTGCTCCATGTGGGGTTGTGGCTGTCCTGGGAGCCCTGTGTCGGGGAGGTGTGAGGAGTTGGTGGAGGTTGTGGCTCTTTTGCATCTGGAAGCTGAAAAACTTTAGGTCTCTACTGTGGCTGCTTAACTATGAGACATGAGTAAAAATATAGTGTTTACATTTAAAATATTTATTACAGACCAGGGATACAGCTCAGTGGCATGAGCACCAGCCTGGCAAGTACAAGGTCCTGAGCTCCATCCCCGGTACAAAAAATTTTTATTCCAGTGGACGACCCATTGTCATGAGTTCCCCTCAAGGCTCCTCTCCTCCTCACTGTGAAATCACTCATGCTCTTGTCTCTACCGGAGCAGCTCTGGAAGTCCTCTTTCATGGGTGTCGGCGAGGTGAGATCACACATGGTGAACGCCTCTGCTAGTGCCACCTGGCAGAGAGGTGGGCACAGAGAAACACGACCTGGCTCCTCACCCTCCTTATTTCTCCAGGTTCGGCTCTTCGCACAAAACAAGGATAACCACAGAGGCGAGCTGTGGAGGCAGCCATGCCAACAAGGCAGCTGAAGACCTGAGCGAGGGTTTGCACACCCACTGCGGAGTGGCAGGAAGGGGGGGTGAGTGTGGCCAGAGTGAGACGGAGTGTTTCAGAAGGGTTCATGAGAGTTCACCTTTTACTGCATCTATTTTAACAATTTAAACACACACTGCGTTTTCTGATCGCATCTCGTATCTGCCCAACCGGGAGCTCCCTGCCTCCTCTCTGACCCCTCCAAGTTGTCTGCCAGTGGCACCTGAAGGCATGATCTATGTTGCTTGGTGGCCAAAGAGTTAAAACTGCCCCTGTGTCGATGTCCGCTCCCGGCCGGCAGGAAGGACACACGACAAAGTCTGGTAGTGGACAACCTTTTCTTTTTATTTTCCTTCTCCGTACAGCCTGCCCTGGGATCGCTCCCAGCCGAAGCCTCCTCTGGTCCGCTCCCCGCGGCTCCTTTTGTGCTTCAGTCTGCCCCAAAGCCTCTACCGGTCCGCTCTCCGCGGCTCCTTTTTGGGCTTTTACTTCTGGGCTTCTACCTGGCTTCTTCTTCCGCCCAGGGGTGGCACCGGTATATATACGGGTACAGTGTCCAATCATGTTAAAGTAAGCAAGGCAAGCTGATTGGCTAACATCATCAGTTGCCAGGCAGACTATATTGTTGAGCGGGTTGTTTACGCGGTAAGCAGGAAACTAACATATTCGATGGGAGGGGTAATCTACCTCAGGCTTTGCTCTTTACCACAGGCCGCACATCCGCCGCGCAAGGCGAGCTATCACAGACGCGGCTCCCAACACCCCTGGATGAGCGGGGCAGAAGTGTGTTCTGTTGAGCTTGGACTCCAGGTAAACATCTGAGCCCCTGTCCCTTCCCAAATGAAACTGTACTATGAGGGATTTGGGGCCGAGCTCACCCACCTACCCCTAACTTTATGAAGCCGAGGCCTTTATCTTTCCAGACCAGGCTTCAGATAATGGTTTGTACGGTGATTTTTTGTTGTTGTTGTGTTGTTACCACATTGCTCTGTGAGAGCAAATTATTGTATTATTATATAGGAAATTATATTATTAAAAGGCTTTTAATCCATGAACACTTAACCAGCTAAAATGGGCTGAAAGTGTAACTGGAGCTTCATGAAGGGATGTGAAGTGTCTTTATCTAACACCCACCATTTGCCATAATAAACATTTCAGATCAAAGCTGATGAGTGAAAAGTTTTTAGAAACCCATTACTGTCAATGGCTCTGGACATTCGTGACCACTTTGACTGCCTTCTCCTCCTGTGAGAGCCAAGGGAGGGAGACTCTGTCATCTCCCTGGTCTCTGCCACCTCTGAAGTTAATTCTTTTTGCCTCCATAGACAAGGCTGCTTTTAGCTGTTCCCATGGGAGTGGTTTCAAGGTTTGCGGGATCAGAAATCTCCATTGCAGTTCAGAGGGAGCCAGGATTTCACATAACACAATTTCTTATCCATGCTCTCCAAGAGATAATACTGAATAATTTCGCTCCCTCTTTTCTTTTGCAGGAGGCATTCTCTGATCTGACTTTAGCTTCTGGCTTTACAGAAATTGACTTACACTTGAGTTCTAAAAAAAAAAAAATTGTAAGAGGAACAGTAATCACAGTGTATGACTGATGAGTGTGTTCAGATCTAATTTACACACCAGGTAGGAAACAGCTGTCGTGTGATAAATCACCAGCTGGACACAGTGGTGAGAGCTACTTTCACGGCCTCTCCTCCCAGGGATGGGTAAGGATGCACTGGAGAATACTGGCCACTGGGTCATGAAGCATGGCTGCAGTGTCCTCCACGTCTGGTTCACTGGCACTCTCAGCTTCCATAGACTGAGTCTCCATCATTGATGCAAGGTGCGTGTTTTCAGTCCATCACTGGCCCCTTTTACGCCCTCTGTTCCTTAATCTCATGGCCAGAGGAAGAGAATCCAGACTTAGTCTCAGCAGCATAAAGGGTGGCAGGACCACAGGGTGAGGGAAGCTGAGTCCTGAAGGATGGCAGAGTCACCATAAGGGTTCCAGGGTGTCCAGAGGGAAGAAGTCGCCCCAGGGTTGTTTGTATTTCAAGGGCTCCTAGCCGAGACCTTTGCTTTCCCTGAGAATTTGCTAGTCCCTGGGGGAGTAGGCTTTCTCCATTCTGAACAGTATTGTTAGTATTGTCCTAATGTCAATAGCATGCAGTTTACATGTGTATCACATTCGTTAGCTTTCCCGTCACTGGGGCATGACACCCGACAGTCACAGATTATAAAAGGAGAGGTGCAGTTCACCTCTTGGTTCTGGGTATCAGTCTGTGGTTGACTGTATCCGAAGCAGAAACATCATGGTGGAAGGGCATGATGGAGGAGAAGTGCTCACCTCACAGGAACCAGGAGGCAGAGAAAAAAGGGAGGATCCAGAGACAAGGAGGCACCTCTCCAGGCTGCACCCTCAGGGAACCACCTCCCCTGATCAGGCCCCACCTGTGAATGTCACATTTAGCTGTGACCTCATCAATCAGATAAACCCAATGAGGAGCACAGGGCTCTGAGGTGCCAGCCGCCTTCCAGAAGCATTGCCTCTGAACACATGAGATTTCTGGGAGACATTTTAGACCTAAACCACGGCGAAAATATTTTCAACTGTGTAGAGCAGCTTAAGCTGCCACTTCCCTCGGCACAGAGGATGAGTGGGCAGGAAGACAAAGGAGATGAACCAGAACAGCTGTCTAGGTTAGACAGGATTCCATTCTCATAAACATTAATATTAATTACATAGGCGATTAGAGCTAGTTCTTCTGTCTTTCAATATATTGGTTTTGGTAGCTGAAATAATTCCTTTCAATAATTTCTCTGGGGAGGAGATGAATAGCAGACTTTAATGAAAACAATTGAATTAAAAATTTCATTCCCAGGGAAGGATCGATTATGAAGCTGTTTCACGAACCTTCCTACAGCCTCTAGGAAAGAGACAGGTTCGTTTACAGCTGTAAGAAAATATACATCCAAGACTCATCCCTATTTATATTAAGTCACATATCAGAATAAAGGTCAGATCAATTTTCCCTTTGTTGGCTTAATATACACTAATGTAAATGGCCCATAAAGAAGATAATAAAAGATGTTCTCTAACAAGAAAGGGTGTAAGTGTGCAAACATTTTGACGCTTAGTGAAGCAGGACATAAATGAGTTCCATGCATATCTTGGTTGAAGGTTACAAGGCTTTTATAAAAAAGTTCTGTTACTAAACCTGTGTTCAGTATTTTGATTTGTTTTATCTCTGTCCCCAGTGTGTCTGATAATTATCACTTGGTTATAACAATGATATTATAGGCATTAGAGAATGTCGTAGTTAGGATGAGTCCTCGGGAGCTTTTAAATCCCTTAATGACTTGAAGCTGGAGATAATAGAATTAGCTCCTAAGTGAGGCCTGGAGTTTTTTTTTTTTTTTCTTTTTTCTTTTCTTTACAGCTGGAAACTGAGTTCTGCATGGACACCTTATTGCCAGTGCCGCCCTGTGTCATTCAGCAAATGTCAGCTTGAACAACAGGCAGGCTCTAAGCCTTTGTGGCTGGACCCAAAAGAAAAAGTGGACTGGATTCATTTCTCATGTAAGTCCAGCCCATCAGGTACTAGGGATCAGGGGGGCAGAAGGCAGCTACTCAGAGACCCAGACGCCTTCCCTCTCATGGCTCTGCCATTGTCTGAGGACTGAGAACATGGGATGGCTCTGGATTGAGTGGAGAGAGCACCAGTGCAGAGCAGGGGGTGGCTCTGCCGGTCACCCGATCCTGTGGTAGAACCTGCCAGTGCCCAGCACTGTGTGTCTCCTCCCCTGCTGCTTTCCTCTTGTGACACATTGGCACTGCAGTTGTGTCTGAACCAGAGCAGAAATGGCATGTGCCACCTCCCAAGTGATGCATCCTCTTTGATTTCCTCCTGCTGCTCTTCCACAGGATTGTGCAGAGAAGGACGAGGCTTCTGAGGTAGCAGAACCACCAGGGGTTGGGATGCACAGGTTTTTGACCCCATGTCTCGGCAGGAGGCTCATATCCTGGGTTTCTCAAGTCCCAGATGGAGAAGAGTCTTGCCCTGGGAAAACCGTGTCCACCTCTCATTCAAAGGTGGCTTAGGTGAGCTCTCTGACCAAGGAGTGGCCAGAACTTTGAGGGGACCTTCGGGTGTGCTGTTCAGTGACAGAAAGATACACTCTTTGGAAGGCCACAAGGTAGACCTCAATAGATTACATCCTATCCTTTCCTGAAAGATATGCGGACATCCTATCCCTTAACACCCCAAAATAGAAACTTCTGGAAACAGGTCCTTTGGGGATGCCATCAGTTAAGATAAGGCTATGTGGTGTGACTGGTGTCCTTACAAAGAGATGACCAGGTGAAGACAGACAGACACACACACACACACACACACACACACACACACACACACAGAGAGAGAGAAAGAAAGACAGAGAGAGAGAGAGAGAGAGAGAGAGAGAGAGAGAGAGAGAAAGAGAGACCCCATGCAGTGACAAAGGCATAAGCTGATGTTAAGTATCTGCAAGGAAGGAAATTGCAGATGACACCAGAAGCTGGGAGGACCCTGAAGGAGCACCTTCTGGTTCCGGTAGATGTGGTCGTGGTCCCCTCAGCTCCAGCTGTGTAACCTCCAGTTCAGGGAGGAAGACAAATCTGTTGTTTTATGCTACCCTGTGTGTGCAGTGCTGTGACAGCAGCCACAGGAGGGGATGACAGGTCAGCACAGTGCTCACTGGGTGGCAGAGAGTGGAATCAGCTGTATTCTCAAGGTGTTGGATCCTGGAGGGCCGGAGTTAGCAAAGTCTCATAAGGTTCAGCATCCTCGCAAAACTCCAGAACCTCAGGTAGGAATCTCAATTTGGGTATCTCTTTAAAAAGTGTGCCAAACTGAGACCAATTACAACCTGGCAAGAAAAAAAAAAAAAGAAAAGCACTTCCATCTAAGCAGGAGCTGCGAGTGTTGTGAAGTAGCTGCCAGGCATGTTTATAACTGCTGCCATTAGCCCTGCATGCTGCCTGGGTTCTCTGGGGTCTCTTCTTTAATACTGTGTCCTCTACCCCCACAGACAAGGTAGTACCACCAGAAGAGAGGAAAGGGCCTGTTGGAGTCCGTTAGATGTCCCCACATCATGCCCTCTTATGCATGGAGTTTTGAAGGTGGCTGATGGACTAACATGTGTGAATGTGGGATTAATACATGATGCTGGGTGTCATGGTTTATGTTGGTGGCCCCCCAGGCCTCATGCATTTGCATTCTGCATTGGTGATTGGTTCATTGTTTACCACTTGGTTTGACAGTGTGAGTGCTCACTGGCCTTGGGGTGGAGCCAGGTTGTAATTTAGTGGCAGGAAGAAGTTGTATCTCTCTTCTTTCACTGGTTTCTGTTTTGCTGTTTACAGCCTCCCATGAACTGAGGTGCCACCATACTAGTCTGCCTTGGATCCAACTGAGTATGGACTGAAACCTCCAAAAACTGTAAGAAATAGACCTTTCCTTCCCAACTTCAGTCATCAGGTATTTTGTCTCAGTGATGAGTAAAAAGTAACAAAGACAGAATTTGGTACCAAGGAGTGGGGTCATTGCTATGACTATACCTGACCATGTTTTTTGAGAGACTTTGGAAATGGCTTTTGGACAGAGTTTGGAAACATTTGGACATGTTGCATGGATGCATAGAGCTGGAGCAGCTTAGCTTGTTCATTAGAGGAGATTCTGGTCAGAGCTCAGGAGACCAGAAGGCTGATAGAAAGCCTCATGGTAAAGACCAGGTTTCTGCTGGGAAGAAGGACTGCATTGGTTTTTGGACTCCCAACGATGTGTGTTATGCTTGGCAGAAAGTTTGTCTGCATTTTGCTCATACCCAGATACTTTGCCTGAGACTTAGACAAAGGGCAATGGACTGATTAACCTGGAAAAGGAAATTTCAAGGCAGTCAAATGTTGAGGCTGTGGCATGACTACTTCTGGGGCTTTTAGCCAGCTTTATGTTGCAAACCAAGAGCAAAGAGCCCAGCAGGACAATTTACAATGCTGTGAGTTTGGCTAGAAGGAAAACTCCAGTAAAGCTGTAGATTGTAAGGCTCAAACTGAGATTTTGATTGCTGACAAGAAACAGAGTGATAAGAAAGATGGTACCAGGGCATCCTAGAAAGCAGCAGGTCTCCACACTTTGCAGCCTCAAAACTGCAAAAGTGAAAGAATTTGCCCAGAGGTTGAAGCTGCAGAGCACCATGCTCCAGAATGGCAATGGAGGCCACATGAGTTTCCAGAATGGTGGTAACATAGAGAAGATTTTCTTCACAATCAGGTTCACAGAGCCCAGCAATCCAGGCAACCAACTCCTTACAGCCAAGAGAGAGAAAATCCTGGATACTGCTCCAGCTGGCAGCAAACCTTGGTGGCATCCACATGGTGCTGATTTTAGGTGTAAGGAAAATGTACAAAGTCTGAGGGTAAGATAGCTTCCACCTTGATTGCAGAGGGCCTGGGTGGCCAAGCAGTGTGCCTCTGAGAGGGCAATTTGTAAAGATGTAAAAGTGAAGCCAAGAGTGCAGTGAAGACCCTGTAAGTTTGGAAAAGCCAGGAATATGGGGCATCTGAGGAAAGCTGCAAAAAGTAAGCAGAGAGGGTCTAAGAGAGAAGCTGCAGGAGCTGATATCCCTGGAAATATTGTGGGGGTGTAGTCATCCAAGCCTTTTGGAACTTGCAATCAGATTGCTTCAAATACTAAGCATGGAACTCTAAGACTTAGTGTTTTTCCTGCTGGATGTTGGGCTTGCTTTGTTTCCAATGCTTTATATTCCTATTTGTAACTTTTGGAATAGTAATTTTTATCCTGTACCTTTGCATTTCAGAAATGTTTAAACTTGTTTCATTTGTACAGCGGGTTACAGGTAACAGTTTGCCATAGATCTTGGAGGAAACTTGGGATTTGGACTTTTTAGGAATGCCGGAACTATTAGGACACTGGCAACTCTTGGAGGTGGACTAAATGTCTTTTGTATAAAGGATGTACATGAGTCCTGGGGGCCAGGGGTGGAATGTCATGGTTTATGTCAGTGGCCCCCAGGCCTCATGTGTTTGCATTCTGCATTTGTGATTGGTTCATTGTCTAGCACTTGGGTTGGGAGTTTGAGTGCTCACTGGCCTAGGGGTGGAGTCAGGCTGTGATGTAATGGCAGGAAGAAGGTGTGTGTCTCTCTTGCTGGTCTCCTTCTTGCTGTTTTTGCAGCTGCAATGAACTGCAGCCCTGCCATGCCAGCCTGCCTTGGAGCCAACTGAGTGTGGACTGAAACCTCCAAAAACTGTTCTTTTCCCAACTTTGGTCGTCAGGTATTCTGTCTCAGCAATGAGGAAAAAGTAACTAAGATACTGGAATGGGAGAGCCCCCTCCTGGTGTAAGTGGCACTTAGCAACAGGTTTGTAGCCTGGATGTGACATAAAAGAACAGAAAGAAGGCAGGATGCTGCTGCTGCCGCTGCTGTGCTGTCTCCTGCTTGCTTGCCCTGGACTGTCTCCCTTCCCCAATGCACCTCTGCCCCCCCACCGTGGACTATCTCTCCTGTTATGCACCCCCTGCCCTACTGTGGATGATTTCTCCTCTGCAGTGTCCCTCTGCCACACCACCTTACCTTGAAAGCAGCAGACTGTGGACTGAAAACTCCACAAACTGTGAACCAAATCAACTTTTCCTCCTTTAAGGATGGGTGTCAGGTATTTTGTTTTGACGTTGAGAAAAGTAACTAAGACAGGGTAATTATAGGGTTAGGTGGATATAAAGTCATTTTAAGGTATGATGGAACCCAGTCCAGTAAGACTATGGTCATTATCTTTCCTGCTTGTCCGTTTAGGATTAAAGACTCATGTATGGGTGACTCTAGAGGATGTCACATATCACAGAAAACCCACTGCACTGCGGGCCCTTAGAGAAGAAGCTGAAAATGAATGTCCAGCCATCTTGGTGCCCAAGGTGACCGAAATGACAGTTCACCATGCTGATAAATGTCTGAGGCTCACACCCACAACTGTGAGCATTTATTATAATTGTGGAGACCAAGGGGAACTCACATAATATCATGATCTCTCAATAATGTAGTATTAAAATATTTATACAAATTTTTCTTTTCTTGACATATATATTTTGTACACATATATGTACACGTATATGCAATTTGTGTGTATACGTATGTACACGCATGTGTATGAGCTACGTACAGTGTGTGTATACACAGACATGGAACTACTGGATCATGCGGTGTTTCTGTTAACTTTCTGAGGAATTTCCGTGTTTCTCTCCACAGAGACCACATTGCCCTATGTTTGCAAAACTTTTGTGAGTTAGGCTTGGTGGAAACTGAGAATGGGCTTTTGAGGACGGTTTGCTTTGCTTGTTTTTAACTTTAATAGGAAACCGAGTATCACTGGCATTTGGGAAACGCTTCTTTCAGCTCATTCTCTTATCTGCATTTCTTAATATCAGCTTCTTCAAAAGCAACGAATTCTTAAACCTTTCAGATCAAAAACACTTTTGTCTTCCATGTCCCGTGGTCTGCTCTGCCGTTTCCCATGTGGCTGACGGGAAACCGTGTCTGGGTTCTGAGACTGGTTGGTGTTTCTGTGGCCTGGGTTTCCTCACAGACATGGAAGACCTCAAGCTTTGGGCTGAGCCACTGTCACTGTGATTCTCTTTCCTCGCTTGCTGCAGCACTAGAAGCAACTGCACCTCCCCGAGGAAGGTGGGATCCTGGGTCTCCCTGAAACATTCCTTCTGGACCCCCAACACAGGAAGTCTGGGTCTCAGAGTCCTTTGCAGCCATAATCCTGGTTTGGGGGCTGATTTCCTACAAGTGGAAACAGTCCTCCTGGGCAAAGTGGGTGTCCTGTGGACCTCAAATGAGGCTTGAGATGTGAAAATCCAGTTCAGCACTAATTGTTTTAGAAATGGCATTTCGAGTGGATCAGTTTAGGGCTGGCTTGTTTATCAAAGACCACTGGCCCATGAAATTCACCATCCAACTGAAATTACTTAAATTACTTTCTTTCAAAATAGTGAGACATTAGAAGGTGGTTATTTAATTACAAAGTACCTATGGGAGAGACAGATAAACCTAATGGACCATTTTATTTCGTGGGCAATCCTGCTTGGGAAGTGACTTTTTTGTGGAGATGATAAATCCATCAAGTTGTACCTTCCTAGCTCAGGGTTAATGCTCCACTAGATGTAATTCCTGGTCCTCTGTTCCCCTCCCTCCCTTTCTTTCTCCCTCCCTTTCTTCTTCCTCTCTCCCTTCAGTGGGCGATGCTACTCTACAAAGTATAAAGACCAAACCTTGCAAACCCATGGTCACAGGATTATGAAATTCATCACTTTGGCTTCAAACCTTTGCAAGAGACAGCAAATCCAATCACACACATGTAATAACAATTAGAGTGACACATTATGTAGCTGAAGTATGCAGGGAGGAGCAGGCTGCATGTCCAGCCACCTGCAAGGCTGATCAGCAAGTAGTTTATCTGTGCCTTTGACCCTTGGTTTCCACCATGTGTGTCCCATGGTCAGCCAGGCTCTCCTACCACAGTGCCAGCCCCAGCCCTCCTGGCTCACAGACGTTTTCTGAGGAGCTCTCATCCAACCCTGAGTGCAGTCTGGCTGTACTTGTGTCGGGGTGCAGGGCCCGGCCAGAGCCCTGTGGCTCTGTCCCCCTTAGGCACTGAGTTGCTGGGTGCTGTTGCTGAAGAGACACAGCACACTGTTGTCAGGTGGCTGGGCAGGTCTCATGTCTAGCTGGCTCCCACTCTGGGTGGACATTGAGGCACAGAGTTAGGCTTGTGCAGAAAGCAGGTAATAACAGGAGACAGAGGCAACAGTTTCAGCTCAGGGCTGCTGTAACACGCGATAGCTGTAGTCATTCCACAGTTTTAGAATTATGCCACTTGGGAAATAAAAAGGGAAAATCCTTGCTTACCATGTTGGCGGTGCCTTCACTGAGGTCCTCCATCCCAGTGTCTCTGGAAATCTGTGCCATGTGTGCATCCTGTAGCGACCACGGCTGTTGGACGCGGGAGGGTGACTCACAGTTCAGTCTCTTCCTCGGTTTCCACAGAGTGTTCCTCAGGGAAAATTTGCAAATGTGGGGTGCAGTGGCACTGTGGGGAGCCACAGGGAGGGAGGCTCCTCAAAGATTTAAAAATACAACCACCACATGGTGCAGCAAACCCACTTCTGCATCTCTCCAGAGGGATGGAAATCAGTCTGTTAAAGAGATGATGCCGTGTTCACCGCAGCCATGATCACAATCGAAACAACGTTAACGTCTGTCAGAGGATTCAGGGATAAAGCTACGGGGCTACACCCACTGTGGAATATTATTCAGCCCTGACATAGCAAGAAAGCAGGTGTTTGCAACAGCACGATGAACCTGGAGGACGATATGCTAAATGAAATAGCCAGGCATAGATAAAAGCAGAGTGCAGGACTGGTCACACACATGAGATGGAAGACAGTGAAATCTTAGAAGCAGAGAGTGAGGCCTGGTCTCTGGCTGTGGGGTGAGGGGAGGAGGGGCTGGTCACAGGGGATGCTCACAGGGTTGTTTATGATAACTGCATGCATTGATTTGAACAGTGCACAAACTGTGAAACCAGGCTCATCTTTGAACACCTCAAACCCAAGTCTTTGACTCAAAGCCTCGTTTTGTCACTGAAACATCTTCCCCCACGTGAGGGTGAGTTGTGCTTGTGCTCTGTGTTAGACTCTAGAGTTGCTTCCAGGAATATAGCACTGTCTCTCTGCCTTCAACACTCTCTGTTTAGTGGGAGAGAGTCGTGTAAACCAGCATTTCATGAAGATGGTTGGGAGGGAAGACTGGGGAAGACTGAAATGCCTAGACACCACATATCCAAGCAAGACGGGAGAGACCTCTGTGTGGGCATTTTAGGGCAGATTAGATGACTTGAGTCCATGGGGCATATTCATAGGAGGGGTGAAGATACTGGGCATTTTCGGGGTGATGGAGAGTCACCAGGAGATTTACACAGAGCTGTGGTCCAAGTAGTTTGCTGTTAGGAATGGGGGCTGTCAGATAGTGGTTTGGTGATAACCCTCAGTGGGTCGCTGCAGTTAGGTGGTATGGAAACCTCCTGCTGGATTCACAGGGAGCCCACAGAATCCGAGACTGCTCTGCAGGGAAAGGGGAAGAGCGTTATGACAGAGTCCTATGAGTCCTCATAGGACTTATCCCAGTGGATGGAGCAGTCTGCAGGTAGGGCTGGCTCATTAGGGTGAGAAGACCTTAGCAGTGGGAACTTCTGCATCTCAGGCTGGGACAGAAGAGGAGGGGCAGTCAGAGAAGGAGAGGAACCAAGTGAGTGCTTTTCGGATCATTTTAGGGTGCTGGTGGTTTAGATTTTTTAAGGCAGCCTCATTAAACATATCTGATATGAAAAGCAGTGCACGTATTTAATGTGTGCGGTGGTGAGTTTGGAGCCACGCAAGCACCTCTGTCATCACTACAATGAGGACAGCAGACATTACCACCACACCTTCCCAACCCCTGAGTGTCTAAGTGAGTGTAGGAAGGACTCTGGGCACCTGACCACTTTCTTGAAAGGTTGGAGGTGCATGATGCCATTTTGTTAACTGGAGACACCATGCTGCCAAGTGCATCTCTAGAAATTTTTGTCCTAACATAGCTGAAACTTTCAGTTTGAAAGTTTTACTTCTAAAATAATTTTAAATTGACAAAAGAAAGGAGATCAGCCCTTTCCTGTATTCCCACCTTCCCCATCTAATTTCTTCTCTTACTAGCATTGCAAATTAATGTGGAACATTTATTATGATTAAGGAACCAGCAGGGACACGATGAGTATCAGCTAAAGTGCATAATTCATTCAGAGCTCTTAGGTTTACCTGATTCCTGGCAACCCAGGCCACAAACCACATTACATGTATTTGTTATGTCTAATTAATACAGTTTTTAATTCCCAACTGAGACTAGGGTTATATTAAGGTATCATCAAATTTTATATTATCTGTTAAATAATAGTAACATTACTTTTTAAAAATCCCAAGTCTCAATGGGCTGGCACTACATAGTTATCTTCCCTCCTTTCCAGCCAGCAGTGCCAGGACTTGATTGTTTTCTGGAGCCTGTGAGTCTTTGTCATTCAAAGCTAAGAAGGCAAATCCACTCCCAGAGCACATTTTGGGAAAGGAGCCCTCTCTTCCCGTATAAGCCATGGATAAGAACCAGGCACAGGCGGAGCCTGGGTGACAGCAAGGCTGGGGACCCTACCCTAGTCCTGGAGGGAGGGGCTCAGGATGGGGGACTCTGAGTGGCAGGTGGGGGAGGCAGAGGATCACAGGACCGGCAATGATTTTACCCAGGGGAAAGGGTGAAAGAAATCTGGGCAGAAGTCGCCCGTGGAAATCTTATACACCAGCCTGTAAGCCAGGGTGGTACATTGTGGCCCTGTGAGGGGTTGGGACATGGGCTTGGGCAGGGTGAGAGAGTTAGACAGCGCTGTTGTTGCCTGTGTCAGTTTTGTTTCCTTAGGGTTTGCAACTTACCCCCAGACAATCAGGAGCCATGAGAGGGCTTTAGTGTAGGAGCAGTGCTGTGAGTTTTCTGTTTAAGCCATACATGGATCAACACATAAAGACCTTCAGTGATAAGAGTGAGTACTGGAGACCCAACAGACAACCTTATGACTGTCTTTATCAGTATCACCTTCTGTATCTGATTGTGAGGGAGGGTCTCAAGTGTTCTCACCACTAGAAAAGATGGAGGGATGGATGGCTATGCTGATTGGCGTGGTTGTGGTAACCATGCCACAATGCGTACTTAAAAGCTCCATGTGAGCAGGGCGTGGTAGAGTGCCACAGTAATTCCAGCCACTTGGAAGGCTGATGCAGGAGGATTGTGAGAGAGCCGCACATACAGGATAGGAAATAGAGGTGAGCTAAGGTAATACTAAGCCAAAATTAGGTGCTCCAGGCATGCAGGGAGGAGGGGAGGCCTAGGGGAGGTCAGGGGTGAAGGTTCCCTTTCTGCACTGAAGACCTGCAGGTCCTTTTCTCCCTCTTCTAAAACCCTCCTCCCCATGCTCCTAGGGGTCATAGGATCAGGGTGGAGTAGCTCAACCTTTCATCACTGTGATACATGGAGGCTCAGCCTTTCACCACGGGCAATGCACTGCTGTTATTTTGCACGGCAAAGAAAGAAGGGATGAGGCCAGTTGTATCTGAAGACACCACTGAGAAGAGAACGCAAACATTTGCAGTAATATTAAAATGTAAAAGAAAGTTCATTAGGTAACTTCTCATGATAGAGGACAGGAAATCCACTGGTTTCCGTATACCCACCCGATGCTTCTCTTTAGCCAGTGTGTGAGCTCTTTGGGGGGGTAGGGCCAGGGTCCGTGTTTCATCTGGATGCCCAGTATTAGTTCATGAGTTTAGCAGTTGGTGCAGGGATTAAATGAGCTATAAGCTGATAATCCAGCTAGGGAGATCTGGCATATCATGAGAGCATTTTACATTTGATATGAAAAACCTCGATATTCTGGAAGGAAACTGGAAACAACATCACTCCCAACTTCACATTTTATAATGTTCTTGAGACAGTTTTAAGAGTTTTAGAAGAATTTCAGTGTTCTCATGTGTCCTGTAATGAATATCCCCATGATAACATTTTACAAAATCATAGAATAATAATGGAAAGAAATTAACCTTGGTGCATTTGTGAAACTGAATGACATAACTTACTGAATTCACTGGCCCCAAGGTTCGATATGCACAATATTTCGGGCCCAAGTCTCCTGTAATTTATCAGAGCTCCTCTATTCCCACTGGCAGAGGTACTTAGTGCTAAGTGTTCCCTAGATTTTGCAATTTCTGGGGTATAAACTGGATGGAGTCCTGAGTTCAAGCTGTTAACTATTCCACTTTCTTCGTCTAATCTAACTCTGCATCAAAAGGTTTATTTCTCCGGGCTCTGTTTCGAAACTGTTTTGTAATTGTCGGTTTTTGTTTTTAAAAACTGATGAGTGTTCCCTTTGGTGCTGCCTTGGGATAGAGCGAGTGACTGCTGTTGTTCATCTGCAGCATTTCACAGACGGAGTCGGTGAATTTTAAAATGCTCATGGGAGCAATGCAATCTGATACACATAATGTTATAATGTGGTACAAAATTAACTCTTTGGTTCTAGTAAATTAAAGTCAAATTTCTGTGTAGGCCCTTGAAATATTCTCTGGCTTTGACCCCTTCTAGTCACTTAAAAAAAAGTATTAGTGCTGACCAATGTGTCCTTATTCATATCATTTAATATATTCAGATGAAAATTATGGATTTTGTTGAATCAGAGAAAGAGTAAAAAGCAAGCAAGAAAGTAAAGACCTATCAGGTACTTTTTGTTTGTTTGTTTGGTATGACTTCCTTTGCCACTTAATGTTTAAGATTAAACAAACAAACAAAACCCTCAATGTAACCATGCAACACACCCTTAGAGCGGAGGCCAATGGTAACAACATATTTGTAAGTTAAAATTTCCCTCTTAAAGACACCTGTATCGAGTCAATATTGATGATTGACCCTCAGATTTTAGTTCCATAGCACCATGGTCAATGACACCTGTGGTGAATATCCATTACTTGACTTTTCCTACCAAATCTGCATGGTAGGAATAACAGAGAGCGCCTTGTACTTAGCATAGACATCTAATAGAGGAATCTCCCACACTGACAACTCCAATGAGTGAAACGCACCCGAGTTGTCTCTGCATTTTGTCTTTAGTGCTGTGCTGAGCACATGAGCAGTCACTCCCTGCAGCAGGAGTGACTCAGTCTTTCTACAGGATGGACAAGAGTGCGGGATGTGCAAGTTACACACCAAAGCAACTCATCTGAAGTAGTATTGTGTCCCTCCTACTTACAAAATTGAAGTTAAATTATGTTTTGGGAAATATTCTCACTTGCCTGATTTATCTCACACTTCAGAATTTATGTATTTTCATAACAGGGACAGAGGGAAGGAGGGGGAGAGAAGGTAGGGTGAAGTGTGGGGTGACACATCCGCCTTCAGGATGTGGGGACCAGAGACGGAACCCTTGAAAGGCTGACGGGTTGGATATTTGTCTGCACTCCCATTACTGGGGTTGGTAAAATGCAGGGTAACCATATGGGTGTTTGACAACATGTGCATTTCTCACATATGTAGTTCAGTGTCTGGAGGAGGCAGCCTTCATTCTTTATCACTAGGGATTTTTAGAAGTAATAAGAAATATTTCAGGGAGTCAAGTGGCCTCACACAAATTGTGGTGGTGGGTCTCATTCTACCCCACATTCGTCCACAGATTGTGACTCCAACCTCTACATGGATTTTAAATGTTCACCCTCGGCTGTGTGCTTGTGTTATGCAATCCATGTGCTAAAACAATGGTTTGCTCTTAGAAATCTAGTGTCTTAGACATCCAGATGGGTCTCTTGCTGCAGATTGCTAGCTGCTTCTAATTCCTTTCCCCTGGAAATCTGCTCTTGGAAATAGATTTTTCATATCTCAGAATAATTTCATATGTAAACCAACCCCAAAGTGTCATCTGCTCTGTTAGGGAGAGGACCCTTCCAAATGCCTCTTCCCCTGGTCTCAAGCAGTGAGGGAAAACTTGGTGCCATGATGCGGGTTGGTGATTGTTACTGGTTCCCAAGGCCTCTGTGGGTCCAAACAGCAGGGATCTCAGCACATCGGATTTGTGTGCAGGCCCAGAGGGGCACCCTTGTCCCCTGACTCCTCCCTTCAGAGATTATGAAATGTTTCCTTGGTTCTCTTTAATCTTGCGGAGGGTTTCTTTTTAAGTGTATCTAGGTGTGTCAGGGACCAGACTACATGAGGGTTAAATTGTTGACCATGAAGGGATATGTGGCTGTGTTGAAAAATCACAGTGCTCAGAAGTCAAGATGACACCAGAGCTGAGGCAGCGGAGGATACAGGCTGCTGACACACCACCCCCACATCCCAGAACATAAAATCGTCAATCTTGGAGATAATCAGTTTTCCTAATTACCAAAATTTACTGCTTTGTTTCTCAAGGACCTGCTCATTTTTCTGGGTTCTATTCTCTAATTTCCTTCCTCTTCTTGCACCCTGAAGTCTGTGAAAACCCAATAAATATGGTGATTCAGAAGAGTCTGTGTCCTCACTTCCAAAGAATTTTGACCTTCTTGAATTCTCCAAACCATACTTTATTTTTGGAAGCCTTCACTGTACACAAATCTTAGGAGATGGGGGGCCGGACCACCATGGATACAGGCAGAGTTGTGCACCACAGCCTCTGTGACATGGACCACTAACCAAATTCACTGGGGATAAATGTGCTTCTCAGTAAAGAGAAAACCTTAAGTAAAAGTGCAGCTGTCTATGGGTGATTTGGGGACAGTGAAAAGGGGAGAAAAGGACAGATGATGGGCAGATCTCTGTCACCAAGTTGAAGCTGAGTTCCTGGTATCTACACCACACAATATCAGCTTTAAGCATGAAAACCGTTAAATCATACATGATGGGCAACTTTCTACACATCCACCTTAGTTAAGTGGAAAACACCGTGTGTGTGTGTGTGTGTGTGTGTGTGTGTGTGTGTGTGTGTGTGTCTGTAGAGAGAGGTGACTTTCAGTGATCACTGGCAGTGACTGTGATTTTGCTGTCTACTGTTGCCTCAGGAACCATTTCTGTAAATTTCTGACCTCAGAGAATACTCTTTTGAGTTTTCCTCTTCTTTTTGTTTTCCTCCTCCTGCTTTGTAACATTTGATCTCATATTTCTTTTCTCTTAGTGGATTCGCTTGAATTGGGAAACTTGAAAACTGTGTACTGGGGATAAAGTCATTTTCCTGAGGAGCCATGTAAGCCGTAGACATGCTGAGTAGCCATTACTGCCTGTAGCTATTTTGTAAGGTAAATTAAGGAAAATGAACTAAACATTAACCATCAGTTTCTCATTGGCACCAGCCACACTCCAAGTGTTCAGGAGGTCTCTGTGGGCAGGGGTGATGCTTGGAGCACGGCTACCTGGGCCATTTCCGGTGCTGTGTGCTTCCGTTATGCCCTGCCCTGGGTCATTTCCGGTTTCACAGGCGCTTCCCTTAAACAGTGCCGACGGGAACCGTTTCCTGCTTGCACAGGTTCTGTCAGACGGTGCTCTGTCCAGCTGACAAGCTCTGAGAAGGGAGACTTGTTTAACTCTTTGCACAGCACCCCCACAACGCTGCTGGGCCACCACAAGCAACACTGAGATGTGTGCATAATCTTTCTATCCGAACCCGTGTGTAAAGAGGAGTGAACCTTGGCTCTGAGAGCGTGTTTTCTATTTTGTGTGTTCTCTCCAAAGTGCATGAGGTGAAATTCACAGACAAAATGGATGCTACACTCACTTACATGAATTATTTAAATTTTTCTTTTAACTTGCAGTTCTTGTCTGAGTGACTGGCAGATGCAATATGTTAGGTGAGGGCTCTGCCATTAGCCTTTTCTATTGAAGCTCCTTCTCTTCCTGCTGTGTCTTTGGAGAAGTTCTACTTCCTCTTCCTCCCACTGTGTGACCCGGAAGTTGTCAGAGGTCACCCGTGGGAGACCTACAGTCAGGTCCCTGATCTGAGTGCTGTGTGGCCCACTGAGGGGACCGAATCCTTTGGAATAGAGCACAGCCACTTCTCCACGGCTTTTTCTTGCTCTTTTTCACTTCTTTGCTCTTGAAGTTCTGTGAGCACTCTCTGTTGCCAACTGACCAAAGCTGTCTGAATATCTCAAGCAGGGCTGCCTCGCATTTTCCCTGGTAAGGAAAAGATACAGATGTTATCCTGTGTGTCATTTCTTTAAAGGCTCCGTATCAGTGCTGCTCCTCTTCTGCATGTATCCCTGGCACCATTTTTATTCATTTGTTTTTTTGTGGAAAAATGTGATGGGCAAAATTTCTAATTCTGTTCATTTCAGTAAATATATTTCACCTTTATATTCTTAATACTAAGACGGGAATCAGCCCATTAATTCAAATTCTGACCTTTATAATATAAACTATGCATTTTTGTTTTTGCTCAAAGAATGCTATTTTAAAAATATTTTTGCCAGGTATAATTATTTATTTTATTGAGCATAATTTTGCAACTTTCAATATCTTTAAACTAATAGGGGACTGACTATTCTCTCAAATGTTCCTTTGTCATTCATAAGTCTTTGTCTTTTTGAAAACCCAGGCCGAAACCTTGTGTATGCAGTGCTATGAAATGCTTCTGATTATACATTTTCACAAAAGGAGTTGACCTTTTGTCTTTTTTTCTACCAGCATTTCATTTCTTGGGACTGGAAATATCAAGTTTTTCATAAGAATTTAGGACTTTAAAAATGTATTGCCTCATAAATTATGATTTTGAAAACTAGAATTTATTAATGGAAATAATATTATTTTTGCATTATCTTTTAGAACATATAATTACTTTATGGTATGAGAGTTGCTTTTTTTGTAACTAGGGATGAAAGTAATCAATGTAAAAAATAGTTCTATAAATTACTGTTACCTCTATCCTATTTTCAGTTAATTGAGATTTCTAAAGATGAAGAAGAGACTAAACTGAAATGGGACTAATTATGCAGACATTATATATACCACATAGCAAAAAAAGAGGTTTGGGTTGTTAACGGATTTATCAAGAAAATCTACAGGACTCCTAATTAAATTCAAAATCCAAATGAGTAGTGAATAATGTCTATATATCTTAGATAAACTTATACTAAATATTTGTAATTTTTCAGAACTTAAAATTTAGTTGGATGTTCTGAATATGACCAAGAAATTCTGTTTATGGTGAGGTAATTGTGTCAAAAAAAGGGGAGAATGGCTTAATACATTTCCTATCAACAGAGACTCATCAGATAATTCAGGAACATAAAACAGAAGGGTAAAATGAAGCACTTGGAATATTAAAAAATCAGGATGAGAAAATAATAGAATTAATCTCATGGTGAATCTTACGTCCTTGCTATTTGGTGACACGCTTTTTCCTCAGGGTCTTGGAGACTGTGACAGTACCTGTGGTCTCTGTCTTGCTGGGATACCCAGCAGGGTTTGGAACGAAGTGGTAGGAAAAGTGTTGTGTGCAGACCCAGAAACAGTGGGCGTCCATCTGACCTCAGGCCTGATGACTGTGTGTCCTCCCTTCTGGACCTCAGCTCTCATGCCCTGCTATGGAAAGGAATACTTGACTTGTCTGCTTTCCAAGAATTTTGTTGGGATTCAGTGACTTGATGAATGTGTACAAAGATCTTCAAGATGTGTTGTTGTTTCAAACTGCAAGTTCCAGATCTGAGAGTAGATCTGTCTTACTCGGTATCCCACCCACAGGTCCCAGAGAGGGTGCAACACGCAGATTTAACACCTAAGCATTGGTTGAGGGTATTGATAAACTTAACCAGCCAAGTAGAATACAGAAAAGTGCATTGTGTGTGTGTGTGTGTGTGTGTGTGTGTGTGTGCATGTAGGTGTATGTGTGAACTTGTACACACACACACACACACACACACATACACATACACGCTGTTTAATGTAATGATAGCTAATGTAAGATAATTTAGAATTCAAACACATTGAAAATGAGTTATTTTAGCAAATCCCAGTGACCGCTGCCAGATCACTGGGTGGTTTTCCTCTAAGTGGTCGAAACAGAGATTCAGTTTCTTCTGTCCTTCAGCCCTGCTGTGTTCACCAGGTGCCTTCCAAGATGAACAGGGCAACCTACAATAAAGGACAAGGAAGGAAAGAACAACGTGGAAGCCCCAGCCATGCGGCACGCTCCTTGGTCAGTGCAGTGTTATCGCTTCTCTTACCCCTTCAGCAAGTTCGGCTTCACTGGATCCACATGCAGGCAGAGTCTGAGAAATGGGATCTTGGCCTGAGTGCAGCTTTTCGTAAAAACTTTTCACCTTGGAGAGGAAAACAGCACTTCTGATGAACAGTTGGCCATGCCTACCAGAGCCTGTGTTCTACTCCCTGAGCTCAGAATGGTGAGCAGCTTCTAACAGGAATCCTGTGACCCTGGCTCTGATATTCATGCCTTTGGGGATAAGAAAATGATACTTCCAAGGAGGGCAGTTTGGGAACAGAAACTGATTATATTTCTGATCTCCCGGGCTCCTAAATCATCTCTGTCTTTCCCTGAAGCAAGCGATGAAAACTAGGGCTTCTCTTCCATAAGTAAGGTTACAGAATCCAGAGCCCTTTTCCCTAAAGCAAGCCATGAAGCTTTACAATATCCCCCTGTCCTGCCTTCCCATGTCTGTCTTGGAGACGGCCATGAGAAAACTCTCTGACCTACATTGTCCGATAGTAGGTTGTGAAACCCCTAATTGTGAAAAAGGAGTAACCCTGTCCTCTGGATGAAAGATGGCTATACAGAGAAGAGCTGCACAGACAGGCCCTGCTGAGCTTCCCTCCTCAGCCTATCACTGTTAGGTCTTTCCCTTTTCATCCAATCATATTCCTGGGAAAATGTCTACACTTCATTCAACCTATGCAATTTAGTGATGCCTTCCATTGGTCAATCCACCCTTTGTTACAGGGTTGTTGGCCACCCCTGTGTGATAGTCGGGAAAGGGATCACCCCTTTTCTCTCCCATAATATCTTTAGGAAACATGCTGTTTGAATGTGGACCCATTGACCCACTCTGGAGACTGTGTGGCAGAAGGCCTCAGATGTCATTTTTGACTGATTGTGGAAGACAGTGACATCTGACTTCCTGGCATTTCCTCTCTGCTCTTCTCCCATACCCAGTGTATGGGAACGGATGACAGGAAATATATTTGATGAAATGCAGTAAAATGTGCTGAAATAGATAAGATAGACCTCTTATTGAACTATTAATAGAGATATCACTTAGATTATGATATTAAACCTTTCTTCAAATTGTAAATGATCTTTTAAATGTTCACATCAAGAATTTCTCCAATACCCAGATTAAAAATAGCTGCCAAATTCAGTTGTGTGTGTGTGTGTGTGTGTGTGTGTGTGTGTGTATGTGTGTGTGTGTGTGCCTGGATTAAAACTAGAATTCATGATTCAGAGATAGTACACATTTTACTTTCAATTTTCATTCCTGAAGTAGGTACTGAGCTCATCGTTAGCTGCTACACTACGCCTCA